AGGGGCCGGGGCCGGGAGGGGGGGGGACGGAGCTGTTCTTTCAGCACCAGCCCCCGGGAGCAACGAGCGAGCAGCGGGGGCTGCAGAGCAGCACCAGCCCAGGCACCCAGGCCAACCGCAGATGCTGCGGCTCTGCCCCGGGGGCCAGTGCTCGACAGGGGAGCAGGGCAGCGTGCTCCCCACCCTTTCAAAAAACAAAACAAAACAAAAAAAACCCCAAACCAAACACTGCCTGCTTAGCCATTTTAGGAGGAATCTCTCAGCCAGTGAACAGAAGGCGGAAAAGCGGCCCCGCGGCTGACACCGACATCCCCGTGAAAGGGCCCAAACACCACGGACGTACTTGTACCACGAGAGAAAACATACCGGGGTACCAGACGTGGGTCGGATGCTTCTTAGGGAAACTTGAACAAACATCACACATAGACCTGTGTGTGTACAGTAAGAGAGAGAATACACACATACACACACACGCGAGTTTTATACCATCGCATGTACACAATGGTGTGCATGTACATACACACACACACACACACACACACACGTTTTAAACTATCAATCACACACACACAGAGTTTTATACCATATGTACACAATGGTGTACATGTACATATACATACACACGTGCGCACACAAAATTCTTGTTTTATACTACTTTATATATAGTACTAGATTACACACACACACACACACACACTAAAAAAAAAAATTTATCTATCTATAGCTATATATAGATACAGGCATAAAAAGTGACAACTTCCACCAACTTTTCATTTCACCATGCACTCTTTAAGGACAGTATTCACTACTTATATAAGCGGCAGCAGTGGAAAGTGATTTCTTTACATACATACAGGTAGGACACACACACACACACACACACACACACACACACAATTGAAAAAAGAAATTTATGTTTTCAAGCTAAAGTGAGGGAGGTCACTGTCTGGTGTTTAAAACCCAGAGAAGATGGGTGGAAAAAATAGATAAACTATTAAACTAGATAAACTATTAAAAACAACCTATCTAAATGGTAAGGTTTGAGAGCCGGAGATTATTATTAATTCTAAACGACATGTAAAGTCTGCCGCCTTCCACGCTGAGAAAGAGACAGCGTCACTGAGGCGGGTTTGCTACACTTGCGTGTCCAGGTGTTAGGTACACAGATTCATTCCTCCGAGTCTTAGCAGAATGTTCTCCTCAAGACAACTAGGGTTGTACAAAGCTTTACAGGTCACAGCAGGGCTTCTCAACTACACAACACACCATTCCAGTCACGTGTATCCATCATCTGTCTTCATGGTTTCTATATCACTGTGAAGTTAGGTAAGTTGCACTCTTGCAAAAGACTTGCAGCTTCATTTTCAAACCTTCATTGGAAAGGCACTTTCTAAAAGACAATACTTACAGTCTTTGCCTGCAGTCTCTTCCCATTTCCAGTCTCTTCCTTATCTTAAGAAGCCATATGTCTACTGTTCATGACTGTCCAGCTTTCCACTATAAACCTGAAAATATAATTTATTTGTCCAAAAGTTATATTATTACATAGAACACACTCATTCCCTTTCTTCCTCTCTCTCCTCCACACCCACCCCAACTCCTGAAAGATACAGTGGAGTCGGGCTTCCGTAAATACAGTGCTAGGACTCTACATGCTCCAAAAGAGAGTCCAGAAGAATCCACCTTCCTGAGAATAAGAACCATTTCCACAGAAGACTTCTTAAAACAAAGGGGGAAAAAACCAAACAAACCACAAATGAAATCCAGTTAGATATGGGCATAAAAAAAAGTGACAACTTCCACCACCTTTTCATTTCACCATGCATTCTTTAAGGACAGCATTCGCTACTTACATAAGCGGCGGCACCAGAAAGCAATTTATTCATACATGGTCTTGGAATACCCACAAATTTCTCAGATTAAAAAATAAATCAATCAGCTAATCCTTTCCATTTAACAGGAATAAAGTGGGGAGTTGCACACAGGTTAAGGAACGGCATTTGTTAGATCCTGATGTCATCTTCATTAAGCCGCAGAGAAGAGCTCCATATATTTTAAATGTTGGGCTTATTTTAAAAATGTTTGGTATGAAAATGCTTTATTCATGGTTTGACAACTTAATTATCCTTTTCACAATCATATTCAATGTGCTGAGTTTGCAGCACTTAAGACTTTTAAAATCTGCATTTTCTAGTTTTCATCTGGAGGTAAAAAGGAACACTTTAAAAAACAGCAAGAGCTGGTGAATTTGAGTGTGCCTCAGAAAAATTGCGGAGACATTTTCAAGTTGATTTTGTCCGTAGAAAAGCACAGAAATTAGAGATGGAAAAAAACCAGGAGGTAAACTCATGCATCTCCCTGCCAGAGGAGACCGGAAAACAGGTAATATAGTATCAAACGGAGTCTAGCCCTTATCAAACTACTTCTCAGCCACCTAAAATCTCTCTGCTGAAATTTAGTACATCGCCTCTAAACTGAGGTGGTTTCAGGGACTGCTCTCTTGAACCAAAAGCATCGTGACCTGAGGCTGTGTTTGCTCTCAGGAGCTGAATGGAAATAGTTTTAAATGATTTAGTGTATGATAAGCATCTCTCTGGCTTTAGAGACATTCTCTCTGCAACAATTTTCTTTTGTTACAGATCAGATTCCTACCCAGTCTCGCCCTCCCTTACCCTTGACCCTTATCCCAATCTCCTCCAAAACCAGCGTTGTGCCCAAGATGAACCCTTGCTTGCTTAGGCACTGCTGAGAGGATGGTAGAACAAGACTGTGAAGAGGTGCTGCTTATTTTCCTCTTTGCAATATGGTTGTGGCAACCTACATTTTGCTACAGCTTTTCAGAAACTGGTAGTGAGTATATCAAGAACTGGCAAAAATGCAAGGAGGGGAAATAAAGGGAAAAAAAATTACAAGGAACTGGCTTGTGGATGATCTTTCCCATAACTTGGCATGTTCCTCTTCTATGTTGTAAATTATGTTCTCTACCCAGAATAGGAATAGCACATCTCATTTAAAGAGCTGGTCATCTATATTGTTACTAACTAGATGGATGTTTCACAGAAAGATCTGTCATTGCAAAGTGACATTAGGAGCTGACACACAGGCCCAGGGCAGGTTTCACAAAAAAAAGCCAAAAAACTGCTCTACCTCAGCCAATTCATGAGGGGGGCTAACAGAGTTGGAAATTAGGTCTGGTCATCTTCTCATCACAAAAATGTCCACAGCTGCAAAGTGCTAGGCAGCAGAAACAATATAGCCTGGCATGTATTCCTTTCTCCATCTTTAGTGGCAGGGAGGGAAGACATCTAGACATGCTACCTTCCTCAGTGGCACCCACAGAGCAAGAACACTTCAGAGTACTCTGCTTCCTGCGCTTTAGGGAGTGCCACTGGGGTTGTAAAATATTGAAACAGTCCTACATGACCACAGTGGAACCACATCCTCTGGGTGGCGAGTGGGTTACTGCTAACCTTGTTGCCATTCCCTCTCACAAGGTCTGCCCAACATGTAGATCATGCAGACACTGTCACTGTACACAGTCTTTTAAGGACGTCCATTTTTTTGTGCTCTAGAGCCTCCAGAAAGCCCTGGATCCTCTCTTCCCGCAGGGCAGTGTGTTTCTGCAAGAGGATTCGTCGGCGCTGAGAATCTCCACGGGATGCAGCCCCTTCCTGTTGCAGCTCCTTTGTCACACAAGCCTGGTCCCTTTCCAGCTGCTGCCGTGTCTTTTCCTCCATGTACAAGTCTCTGGCTTTCTAAAGTGAAAAGCAGCAGTGTTAACATTTTACTGGTCCTTTAGGTCATCCCTATTCTCGTGATGCCCAGACATACAGCACAGGTTGCAGCAGAAATAAGCCTCTGCTTACTTAGCCATCAATCTGTAGATTAAATTACAAATAAGCCATGTGTGAATCTCCTGTACTTTTATGCAGAATCTTGACTGGCAGGTGAACGTGCTGGGAAATCTTTGCAGAACCCCTCGCTAAGACACAGGTCTGACAATAGTATTGACTAGCAGTTAAATTAAAAAAAGCTCTGACCAACAGTGGTAGAAACTCAGGTGCCTAAGCCACAGGCTTAAAACAGAGATTTCAAGCTACAAAACGTATGTGC